TAGTGTTTACTACAGGACAGGGGAGGGACTCACAGGAAGGTGTCAGTGATTTGCAATGTTCTAGTTCTTGGGGTGAACAATGAGTTAATTGTGTGTGTGTGTGTTAATTTTATATATATGTATACACATACATATATATATAAATGAATGAATGAGTGAATAAATGAATAAATAAATAAAAGAAAGGACTCAGAAGCAGTGACACTGAAGCCTAATCTCAGAGTGCAGGCCAAAAATGGCCCTTTCATAAATATTCAGTGAGCTCTGGCTGAGGCTGCTAGGCCTCAAGGTACAAAGATGAATAAAATATGGGCTCAACCCCTCCAGGTTCCCAGCTCAGGGAATGCAGGTGGCATACAAACCAAGCAAGCCAGCAAGGCACAGTGGAACCCTGAGAAGGCCTCCCTCTGAAGGGTCATGTAGGTTGGGTCTTGCAGGTTGGGTCATGCAGGATCAGTAGGAGTTCAACAGGTAGAGAAAGGAGTGGAGGCGGGATAGGTTGGTCAGGAATACTCATTCTAAGAACAGGGAATAATATATGTGAGGCACAGTGAGCCCTTCATTCCTCAGGTGGCCTGTGTTCACAGCATTTCCTTTCACCTTCTAGTCCCTAAATGATCTGATCAAGTCATTAACCCTGTGCTGTGCCACCCAGAACCCTCTGCAGGACCCAGGCACTCATTCTCCCTACGGGCTATCGGGAGCATTGGTTGCTGATGCTGATGCTTATAGCTGAGTCCTTCTTCAGGAATCAGCCTCAGATAGGGGAGCTCTCTCGCCCAAGGTCATGCATCCCCAGCCCCCTATTCCAGGGGCAGCCACATGCAAATAACTGGTCAAAGCAGGAGTATAAAGGCCCAGCCCCCTTGCTTCAATTCAGGGAACTCTGCAGGATGTCCCAACTCCAGAGCTCCCCATGGGATCAGCTGGGGCCTCTCTAGGGCCTCCAGTCTCCATCATAGCCCAACTCAACCCTTTGTCGGATCCTGTTTCTTTTATACCCTCACAGGTGTTGAGTGGGGATGTATACCCCCAAGAAACCTCCTTCTGAAGTGGAGTATCTCCACTTCAGAGTGTTTTCTAGGAAACCTGCCTAAGATACTCATTAAAGTGTAAATGATTACTCAATTTCAAGGGATGCCTTTCCTGGGGGTGTTTGTATAGCAATCAATAATAATAACTAATAACCACAGAGTGATTTCTATGTGCTAGGCACTACACTATATGAGCTTATTTAATGCCTATATGAGCTTATTTAATAAAGAACAGAAGAAACTTATGCCAAAGGAATGAATTTCTAATGGTGAAATTTCAGACTTAGGGAAAGTGAAATTGTCAGCTTAGGGAGACTGGAAGTGTTTGTGTGGCACATATTCTTGTCACAGTTTTCTCTGTCTCACTGTTTAGTAGTCCTAATCTTTTGTACTGGCTGGCTGGCTGGGCAAAGCCCCCAGCAAATCAGGGTTGGGGCTCTCAAACTCACTCTTCCTAAAAAAAAAAAAAAAAAAGAAGAAGAAGAAGCAGGACTTCTACTTAGTAGTGCAATAAATATTTCTGTTCTGTCTTTTTTTCTGGGGTCTCACTTCTTAGGAGTCTGTGTGGAGGTGAATTCCTCTGAAAGCCTAGTACCCCTGTTCGGGACTCTCCAGACAAGTTCTGAGAAATGGCGACATTGTTCCTAGTACTTCCTCTCCCTTCCTGGGCAGCTCCTGTAGCCACCCTTACATCCTCCTTCTTTAGATGTGGGCTTTCCAGCTTTCCCTTCTGTCATTACCTCCCTCCTGGTGGGGGCTGACCTGAAACCTCTTGTTCCCCAGGCAGAGCCTCCCTCCATCCCTAAGGCACCTCCTTCCTGGGGAGCATGCCCGGGCAGCAGGCTGTAGCCCCGACTAGCCCTCCAGCCCTCAGGAACATGTCCCAACATGTTGAGCACTGGCATAGAAGGGGCTGGTGGCTGTTCTCTCCTGCCGGCTGCCTGCTTTGGAGCAAAGGGGCTGTGGTAGGACATAGGAGACCCCCAGAGACCCCAAGGAGACTTTGGTCTGAATTTCTCTGAACAGAAATATGTGGTTTGCAGCAGATCCCTTGGGATTGGCCTGGGATCTGGGGTGTGTGTGTGTATGTGTTTGTGTGTGCATGCACGCAGGCATTTTTTGCATCAGATCTTGTGTGTGACTTCTAACAACCTGCTCTTTTGCCCTCTTCATGGCAGAAGTCCTCCTTTAAGGGCCTATCTGGCTACACACTCGAACGCATGGTTGGAAACTTTTTTAAAAAAGTACTGAACAGTATTAGACACTTAGTGGGTACTTAATAAATATTTGTTGAATTCTGTTGTGGTGGTGGTGGTGGTGAGCTAGAAGTTATAAAAAAAAATCCCCCACAAAACTCACTTCCCAACAACAACAACAAAAAGAATTATTTCATTGTGAAGTTCAGCACCACAAAACTTTAAATAATTCGATACAAGCCTTCATTAAAAAAATTTTTTTCCCAAAGTAAACAGACAGACAATGTCAAGTCTATTTGAAATGCCTGAAAGCCAAGGGGATTCAAGGCATTTGGAGGATATGCTTGTCCTCTGCTGGACATTTGACAACCCAGCCTTTGGGTATGTGTGTGTTGGGGGTCAAGGGGGAGGGGCAGTATGGAGAAAGGAGACAGGGAGGAGGGGACTGGTCCTGGGGTCTTGGCCTTTATGAGGCCCTCCTGAAGTCCAGCTGTAGTCCTGGCCTGAGTCCAATATCAGGCAGTCAAGGGAGTCTGGTGCTCTGCCCTCCCACCCCTACCTGGGCTCCTATGCCCGCAGTGGAGGGGAAGGTCTGTCCTCCCCGAGGTCAGCTGTGTTAGAGGAAGAAGATGGGGCATGTCTGGGCAGAGATTTCCAGACACTGAACAGTCCTAGATGTCCATAACTGTAGCTGCTCTAAGCCTGGGTTCTATTTTTTAGAGGGATTTCTGTTCAAAGTAACATTCTGTTCTCTGCAATTTTTTAAAAAAGATTTAAAAATCTATTTTATTTATTTATTTATTTATTTATTTATTTATTTATTTATTTATTTATTTATTTATTAAAGTAAGCTGTATGAGATGCCTGGGTGGCTCAGTCAGTTAAACGTCTGCCTTCGGCTCAGGTCATGATCCCAGGGTCCTGGGATCGAGTTCCGCACCAGGCTCCTTGCTCAGCAAAGAGTCAGCTTCTCCATCTGCCTGCCGGTCACCCTGCTTGTGCTCCTTTGCTCTCTCTTTCTCTGCCAGATAAATAAATGCAATCTTAAAAAAATAATAATAAAGCAAGCTCTATGCTCAACATGGCCCTTGAGCTCAGACCCCAAGATCAAGAGTCACATGTTCTACTGACTGAGCCAGCCAGGCACCCACCCCTGTTCTCTGTCATTTTCTTTTTTTTTTTTTAAGATTTTATTTATTTATTTGAGAGAGTGAGAATGAGACAGAGAGAGCATGAGAGGGGGGAGGGTCAGAGAGAGAAGCAGACTCCCCGCCGAGCGGGGAGTCCGATGTGGGACTCGATCCTAGGACTCCAGGATCATGACCTGAGCCGAAGGCAGTTGCTTAACGAACTGAGCCACCCAGGCGCCCTTCTCTGTCATTTTCTAAAAGCAAAAACTACAAATGTTTTAGGTGAAAGGAGGCAAAAATGGGGTGCTAGAGGAGCTAGTGGTGGGAAGTGGGTGGGAAGAAATGGTAACCTCACTTGCTTCTGGACCAGCAAGAAGCACCAGTGGACATTTCCAGAATTGTCTTTTATCAGTGTCACCTTAGTACACTGCCTGAAAATGAGGGGTGCTGGGTGCTTCCCTCTTTCTAGAGCCACTGAAATAGAGAGGGCAATGAGCAGAGAGCTAGGGGAGGCAATAAGCCTATGCTCTAGTCATAGCTATTTATTCGCTGTGTGACCTGAGTCAGGTCACTGAACTTCTCTGAGCCTCAGTTTCCCCAGCAGTGTAAGTGAATTGTTTGGGGGGAAATCCAGGAGATAACTTGCTTACCAAATCCTTCTCCCCTTCCTAGCCAACAAATCTGTTGCTATCAGGGGCATCTGGGTGGCTCAGTCGGTTAAGCCATCTGCCTTCATTCAGCTCAGGTCAGAATCCCAGGGTCCTGGGACTGAGCCCCCATCAGGCTCCCTGCTCAGCGGGGAGCCTGCTTCTTCCTCTCCCCTTCCCCCTCTCCCCTTTTCCCTCTCCCCTTCTCCCTCTTCCTGTCCCCCTGCCCGTGCTCCTGCTCTCTCTTTCTCACTCTCCCAAATAAATAAATAAAATCTTTCAAAAAATCTGTTGCAGTCATAGAGATCTCTACTGTTGAGGTGAGAAGGAGGTGGATGTGGGCAGTGAGGAGGAGGCGGTAGGGAGGTTGGCTCAATGTCTAATTTTCCCCATTTCCTGGTTTCCCCTGGAGATCTGGTTGGCCTTTTTTTGAGAAGGATTCCTAATTCCCTCCTTCCTTGAGGCATTTGACAAGCAACAACTTTGCATCCCTTTAGTTCTGAGGACCTTGATTTCCTCATCTGTGAAATAAAGGGGATCGATCCCGTTCTGGTCTCCATGATGCTTTGTTGGGGTGTCTGGGTTCTTCAGGTCCTGCTTAGGGAGAGATGGTCCAGTGAGAGATCCGCGGGCATAGCGGTGGTATAGCGGGCATTTCTGGGGATTGCAAAGCGAGGTACATCCTTTTTATTATTTATGGAGTTTTATCTATTAATGTCACCCCTCGTGATGTTTTCGGGGCCAGAAAAATTGCTCATCCTAAGAATGCCATCCCTTCGTGGGGAGTATCAACTCACACCCCAATTCAAACAACCCAGATTTGTGGCTCAGTTCGTGGGGACATGTGTCAGGCACAGAGGCCCAGGCGCGGGGTGTGGGGAGGAGGCAAGCGCCCTCCTGCAGCACGCGACGTTGGCATCTGAGTTCGGAGGTCTTAGAGCGCGGGCGGGCTGCGCACGGCGACCGGCAGCGGCAGAAGGGGCGGTCCCAGGCCCGCAGGAGGCGGAGCCCTCCGACGCCAATCCTATATAAGGGCAGCGCCGGGCGGTGCCAGCTGAGGTGTGAGCTGCTTCCCGAGACGGTGGCTTGGAGACCGGGAGCCCGGCGCGGATTCACGGAGCCAGCGAGACCCTCAGAGGAGGTGAGGGAATCGTGGCAGGCAAGAGCGAACGCGGGGCGGGCAGCTCGGAGCGGAGCGGAGCGTGTCCGCCAGTGTCCGTGCACGTCCGTGTGTGTGTGTGTGTGTGTGTGGTCGTCACAGGTGAACGACGTGCGTGGGTCTGGGGTTTGCTCCCACGGGTGTCCCTGTGCGGTGCGCCTGTGACGGAGGTCGGGCTGTGTCGGGGAGTCCCGGCGGAGAGAGAGCGCAGGAGTGCGAGGAGCCGCGCTCGCCGCGGGTTGAAACGAAGCTGCGGCGAGGGGAGGCGTGGACCCGTGCGCCCCAGACCCCGGCGCGGCTCGCTGTGGCGGCGAGCGGATGAAGCCCCTGAGCGCCGAGCCCCGGGAGGGGCGGAGAACGCCGAGCCGAGCAGGTTCACTCGCGATCCGCTCCCGGGCAGCTCTCCGATCCAATCGGTGCCGTCTCCGCCCAGACCCCTGAGGTCTGGGTCCCCGACGCCTCCGTGTCCGCCACCAGCTGGGCGCGGAGGTCAGCGCGGGCTGTGTCCCTGGTCCTTGGGAACGTGTTGGGACACGTCCTTTAAGCGCAATCGAGGAGGTGACTCACGGTGACAAGGAGACCCCGGGAAACGGACTGGGTGAGGTCAGAGCCCCGCCCGGGCGGGGGGACAGTGGCCCCCAGAAGTTGGCTTCCCGGCCCTCCGCGGTCTCTGTCCCCCCATCAGCTCAGTGACTATTTGGCTGGCACACAGTGCTCTCAGGGAAGCTGGGACATCAGGAGGGCCAGGACTGGGTGTCCGGTCCCCGCCTCGGAGCGCACCCTCGGGGACCCAGAGCGGTGGCCCCGCGCGGGGTGGGCTCGCGCCAGCCAGTCAGTTTGAGAAGAGCAGGAGTGGAACACCTCTCTTCCATCGCGCCCGCAGAACCCCCGCCCAGCCTGCCCTTGGGTCGGGGCGCCGGACTCCGCCGCGGGCTCGGAGCCCTGCACTGCGGGGCAGCGGGGCGTGCAGCTCACGCCCGGGGCGGGGGGACGCGGAGAGGTCACATTGGAGGGTGGGACTTCGGGGGGCGCGACGCTGCTCAGGAACTCTGACAGCCGCATCCGGGGGCTCCCTGCGCCCCCCCACCAAAATGCCCTCTCCGAGGGCGACAGTTCGGAGCGGAGCAGGAGGACGAGTCGTCCTTCGGGAGCCGCCGCCCAGCGCGGGCCACAGTGCATCCGCCCTGTCGGGGGCCCTCGGGGGACACCCGCGCCCTCCCCGTGCGAAAAAGAGTCTGGGAATTGGATTTGGCACGTTAGGGTGCCCAGGCAGCTCCCCCGCCCCTTCCCTCCCTCCACGTCGCCTTTCGAGTAGGACTTTCGAGCGGTTTTGTTTTCCTTGCTTTCGTCTATTTTTATTTTCCAGGGATCTGACTCATCCCGTGCTTTGGGCGTGGAGAGAAGGTGGAGGGACCAAACCTCTGCGCGCCTGTGCGTGCGGAGTGTGTGTGTTTGTGTGTGTGTGGTGTGTCACAGAGGAGCGCGCGGTTTCCCAACAGTGGCGGGGCTTTCGGAAGCCTGGCTGGCTCAGCGTGACGTGTTTGCGGCCCCCGGTCCCCCTCCTTCTCCCCCCTCCGCACCCGAGGGTGACGCTGCAGCCTGAGTGGAAGCGAAGTTTTGGCGGGCGGGGAGCACTTTGCAGGAAACTGACTCATCACAACTCCCTGCTGCGGTCCAAGGCTCTGCCCACGCACCGCCGACCCTGCGCGTGATTTCCTGGAGACCAGCGCCCCCTTCCGGCCCCGGCGCGAATAGCAAACACGCCTTCCCGCGGAATGCGGCTTCGCCCGCCTTTCCTTCCCGCCTCGGTTCTCCTGGGCTGAGCCGCATCTGCGAACGCCCCTTAAAAAGAGTACCCCATTGGTTCAACAGTGTGTACTGAGTGCTTACTGTTTACTTCGGAATTAAAGTTGGTTGAAGTCTAAGGCACAAAGGCCAACAAAGGAAGTTTTTTTCAGTTACTTGTTTGTAAAACAAGAGTTTGTGTTTCTGAGTTTTCCCTGAACTGGGAGTTACGATAATGGGAGTGAGATCAGATTTTGATGGGGAGCCTATGAGAGCCATAAGGGCAGGGGTGTTAGGAGAGAGGATACCTGCCTGGATTCTGGTCCCATCTTCAGCTCCTAGAAGCCAAGGAATATCCAACTTCCTGACAAAATCCTAGGCAGACTCCTCCTCCTTGTGCCAATGAGACACTGAGACCCAGAATGTCCGTTTGGGGCATCTCCTGTGTACCCTCCCTTGAATGGCACCCCAAGAGTGCTCATCTGCGGAACTGCCAAACACCTGCTTAAATTCCGTTTAATTTGAGTTAAGTTAATCTGGGGAGAGAGGGAGCTATCAATCTGTATTTTTAAAAAGCTCCCTAAATGATTCTGCTGGGCGGAATCACAAAAACCCCTTCCTGGGCTAGGAACACAAAATTAGAGAGGGAGTGTAGATGAACACCAGAGCACAGAACCACAGCAAACAGGCCTGGGTTCAAATCCTGGCTGTGTCACTTGTGAGTTGTGTGACCTTGGGCAAGTTACTTAACTTCTCAGAGGCTTAGTTACTTATGTAAAAAAAAAAAAAAAGAGCAAATATACCCACTCTTTAGGAAAATTAATATTTGTAAACTTCTTAGAACAGCCCCTGGCACATAAAAATATATAAATAAATCCCCACCCTTGCCCTGAAGAGAGTGGGTGAAGGTTATTTGAGGGCTCTGCCCGCTGCACTGCGTAACCCCTCTACGGGGCAGTGGCCCTTGGCCTTTTTAGTTTTCTGATTTGGGGGCAAGCTTCATATCTCTCCAAACTCTTGCCCTTTAAACTTGGTCTGAGGTCACCTAGTGCCTCCCCCTCTCCCATAAGCTGTGAGAGGTGGGGTGGGGGAGGGGTGACTGGGGCAAGGGTCCAGGGCTTCCTGCCCCAGGAGGTCACTCAGCAGAGCTTTCACCCTCCGAGCCTGCAAAGCAGGACTTGTCCTCAGGACGACCCAGTCTTGCCAAGGCTGCACAGCCGCTCAGCCCTGGCGTCAGGCCAGAACAGGGCAGGTGGGTGCCAACGCCTCGTCATGAGCAGACTCACCCTCAGTTTTCCCTCTTCTGAAGTGGGAGGAGAGGAACCGGGTAGACCGGCCACCTCTAATTTTCTGTGCCTGCCAAACGGGTTCCTTGGATGCAGCTAACAGGGGGCAGGGGCTTCCAGGCTGTCTAGACTTCAGATCACCTGATGTGCCTGGCAGGATGTGGCTCAGCTTGGGAGAAATCATCACCCTGCCCTGCCCAGCCCCTCCTCACCCCCAGGCCTCCTGCCTGATGACATCCTTGGGAAAGGCCCTCCGCACACAGCACCTGTCAGCTGCTGTCTGAAAGAGGTGGTGGCCAGGGGGGAGCGACGTGGAGAAGGCTCAGGAAGAACCGAACACAGAGAGAAATAATAACACTTCTGTTTTCCAAACACTTCTATATACCAGCTGCTTCTCTAAGCATGTTACCTATAGTAACTCCGTTAATCCTCACATATGTCCTCTGAGACATGCACTAGTACTGTCTCCATTTTACAGATGAGGAAAATAGAGCCCAGAGAAGTTAAGCTACTTGTCCAGGGTCGCCCAGCAGAGCCTGGATTCCAACCGAGGCAGTCCCGCTCCAGAGCCCTGGCTCTAAACCACAACATACAGCCTCTCACCTCTGTTCTATTACCTTGCCTGATGAAGGGACTCCCTGACCAAGTGCTTGACCGTGCTTCCACGCCCCATTTTATAGATGAGAAAACTGGGGCCCAGAGACATTAAATGACTTTTTATTTTCTTTTAATTAAAAAAAAATTTTAAGTGACTTTTTAAAGTTTATGTAGTAAGCAGCAGAGCTAGGACTAGATCTTAGGTGTTTTTTTTTTTTTTTATCGCAAAGTCCGGGGTACTTTTGAATTTCAGAACAGAGTTATCCCACATGGGCATCTGGGTAGAGGGATTCAGGAGGCCAGAGGAGCAGTCAGCCTGTCCTTTCACTCGGGACCTGACCTTTTGGCCAGGGCTAGGGTTGGGAAACTACTGGACTCTGGCAATTCACACGTACTTGGGGCATTCACGCCCATGAGGGACACCTCGGGGGGAAACAAATTGATTTTAGCTGATAATACCCGGTGGTAAACAGGACTCTGATCCCTGCTATTGCAATAAACTTGTCTTTGTTGACATAACTTGTCCTTCAGCTGCCCACTCCCCCAGTGACCTGGGGGTGCCAGGATGGCTGAGCTCTGTCCCCACCTAGTGGCTGTTGACTGGGGGTTGGAGGTGGCTTGTGGGAAGGAGACGGTGGCACATCGGCTGGAAGGAGCCAGAGAGACCTCGGGTTCTAAGCAGGAAGACGTCACCCGAGCTCTCACAGCAAAGCGCGGCCTGGTAAGATAGGGCGCAATTTCCCGAGTGACCGGAGCCTTGTGTCTCAGCCGCAGGTGCCATGGCGGAACCGTCCAGGGATGCCCAGCAGATCCCGCGTGGCAGCAAGGCTTGCCGCCGCCTCTTCGGCCCCGTGGACAGTGAGCAGCTGCGCCGAGACTGTGATGCACTGATGGCCAGCTGCGTGCAGGAGGCGCGGGAGCGATGGAACTTCGACTTTGTCACTGAGACACCGCTGGAGGGCGACTTTGCCTGGGAGCGCGTGTGGGGTCTGGGCCTGCCCAAACTCTACCTGCCTCCGGGGCCCCGGGATGACCTGGGAGGGGGCAAGCGACCCAGCCCCTCGCCTGCCCTGCTGCAGGGGACCGGTCAGGAGGACCACCTGGACCTGTCGCTGTCCTGCACCCTCATGCCTCATGCCCCTGAGCGGCCCGAGGGGTCCCCAGGGGCGCCTGGCACCTCTCAGGGCCGAAAACGGCGGCAGACCAGCATGACAGGTGAGGATGGGTGCAGGGAAGGACACTGCAGGGACTCTCAGAATTCACGGGGCAAGGGCTGACCTGTCTGGTCCAGCTCGCTCATTAGGCCCAAGGGGAAATGGGCCCAGAGGGAGGAGGCAACTCACCTGGGGTCACATAGCAGGTCTGCAGCCAAGACCAGCTAGCTAACATTTATTGGGAACATTTAATATATGCCAGGCCCCTTGCGAAGGTGAATTTCTAAAATGGTTTTCTTTTTCTTTTTCTTCTTTCTTTCTTTCTTTCTTTCTTTCTTTCTTTCTTTCTTTCTTTCTTTCTTTCTTTCTTTTTCTTTCCTTTCTTTCCTTCCTTCCTTCCTTCCAACCTTCCTTCCTTCCTTCCTTCCTTCCTTCCTTCCTTCCTTCCTTCTTTCTTTCTTTCTTTCTTTCTTTCTTAGATTTATTTATTTATTTATTAGAGAGAGAGAGCACAAGCAGGGAGGGGGCAGAGAGAGAGGGAGAAGCAGGCTCCCCACTGAGCAGGGAGCCCAACGCGGGGCTCAATCCCAGGACCCCGAGATCATGACCTGAGCTGAAGGCAGACACTTCATTGACTGAGCCACCCAGGGGCCCCTAAAGTTGTTTCTAGGGTGGATTTCATTTAATCCTTAGAGCAGTGCTATACCAAATGACATTCTTGCCACTCTTTTAGAGGAGCGGAAATAAGACTCCGAGAGGTAGAGTGGTTTGCCTAAGGTGCCACAGTGAATCTACAGTGTAGAGAAAACTAATGAGCTATTTCCCGCTGCCCTATCCAAACCTAACTCACCTTCCCCATCACACACACACTTCCCATCCGCCTTCCCTGCCTAATTTTTTCTCTTTGGCATTTTGTTCATTTGTTTGCTTTTACTAGCAACAGCTACTACTTTCTCTTGATGTTGTCCATCTCCCTCATAGGTTATTATCTCCGTGAGAAAGGGATCTGCATCTCTCGTTTCTTGCTGAATCTTCAGCACCTAGGACAGTGTCTGGCACATAGTAGGTGCTTGATAAAAAATGAATGAGTGATGCTGACCTTTGAGCACTTATTATGCCAGGTTCCAGACCAAAGCCTTTAGAGAAGGCATTTCATTCAATCCTTAGATCACTGCACCAATGTCAGCTTCATTTTATACATGAGGAAACAGGCTCCGAGAGGTGCAGTCAAGAATCCCCTGGCAGGGGTGCCTGGGTGGCTCAGTCGGTTAAGCGTCCAACTCTCGGTCTCGGCTCAGGTCTTGATCTCAGTGTCATGAATTTAAGACCCATGTTGGGCTCCATGCTGGGCGTGGAGCCTACTTAAAAAAAAAAAAAAGAATCCCATGGCAAATTTGCAGCTGCGTCAGAAATAACAATCCTGACAATAATACTAATAGCTTACATTTATGTGGCTGAGTCATTGTACAGAACACGTGTCATGGCTTATCTAACGGCATTCCTAGAGCAGTGCTGTTTAATGGAATTCTGCGGTGATGCAAATGTCCAGGGCCACTAGCCACAAGTAGCCACTGAGCATTTGACATGTGGCTGGTGTGACTGAGAAACTGAACTTCTGATTTTATTTGATTCTAGTTCATTTAACTACATAGGGCTACTGGCTACTATAGTGGGCAGCTTGGCTTAGAACAGGCCCACGGATGTAGGTCTGGTTATCGTTGGTCACGTCTGTGAAGCGTGGTGGGATGCTCTCTATAATGCCAGAGTCCTCCCCTGAACTTGGCAATGTGTCCCTTTGGCCCTGGGGAAGAGTCCCTGCCCCCTCTGTGTGTGCTTTAGGTGGATAACTTTGCTGGGCCCTCTGCCTCCTGCTCGGCTGACTTCTGTTTCCTCTTTCCAGATTTCTATCACTCCAAACGCCGGCTGATCTTCTCCAAGAGGAAGCCCTAATCCACCCACTGGAAGCCTCAAGCTCCTAGAAATGAGGGGTCCCCCCCCAACCCCTCCGCCCTCCCCTTCTACACCTTTTGCCTTTAGCCCTCCAGTTGTACGTCTTAATTATTATTTGTGTTTTAATTTAAACTCCTCCTCATGTATATACCCTGCTTGCCACCACCCTCCCCCCACTCCTCCCCAGCCTTTGGCATTTAGAATTATTTAAAAAACCATTAGACAGCAGAATGATAGGCTTATTAGAGTGCTAGGTATTTTTATTATGCGAGCTATTATTTAAGATGTCTTCATCCTGTGCTCCCCACTTCCGCTCTCCCAGAGGTAAGGTGGGGCTGGCCTGACCCTCTCCTGCTGGGTGGTGCTCTCTGGAGGAGCCCGGCTCCTTCTGCTCACCGCCTCAGAGGTGTTATGAAATTCCACCCCTTTCCTGCATTCCCAAACCCGGATTCTTTATAATTTGAGAAGTAAATAGATAGCACTTTGAAGGGGGCTCAGCAGGGTGGGGGCATCATCAAAACTTTGGAGTCCCGTCACCTTCTCTAAGGTAGGGCAGGGTGACCTGTGGGCACAGCCTGGAACACGGCTGGGGACATGGCACTCTCTCCTGGCCCTTGATGCCCCACTCTGTCCTGTGAAGGCATGGGGGAAGGTAGGGTCCCGTAGCAAACCACCCCACCTCCCCTCACCCCCTCTGCCACCCACAGGGGAGCCAGTCTCAATGTTTGGCCTCCCCTGCACTTTTCTAGAAGCCCCAGATGCCCTTCTTTTCCAGCTGGGCTTTCAGGTCCCCTCTCTGCTCCCCTCCCCTCCCTCATGCCCTTTTCCTCTAGTACCCTCTCAGCCCTGGGTGGCAGCTCTGGGGTGCCTGTCCCCCCAGCTCAGTGGACTGGGAGGGGAAGGGGTATGCTAGAAGTGGGGGGGCAGTTCTACCTCAGGCAGTTCAAGGGGCGACCACCTCCTCCTCTTACCTCCTGGGGCAGAGGTCCTGGGTTGTCAGATAGGTCTTCTTGAGTAGGGAATCTCTGTCAGGGGTATGTTGTGGGGGGGAGCTTATTTTTCTAGGAGGGAGAGGGTGACCCCAGCCCCTGGAACTCACCCAAGGACTTTCCCCACTGCCCCACCCCCTCTTCCCCCCATTTCATTGCACTTTGAATAGCAGCTGAACAAGGAGTCAGATGTTTTAAGATGGTGGGGGTAGAGGCTGTGGAGAGGGCATACTAAGTGGGCTAATATGGGCCTGGGAGTTGTGAGCTCTTGTCTTTCCTGGCACTGAACATTGAGCCCTGGAGGCACCGAAGCACTTAGTGGGTCTGACCCCAGACACCTTAAGCTCCTGTAACATCCTGGCCTGGACTGTTTCCTCCTGGCTCCTCGTGTGTCCTGGTTCTCCTGTCTCCACCTAGACTGTAAGCCTCTGAAGGGCAGGAACAAGTCCTATACTGCTCTATGTCCTTCACAGCCCCTCCCACAATGCTGGGTATACAGCCGGTGCTCAATAAATATTTCTTAGTGACTTTACTTGTATTGTGATCAATATGCCTCATCATTTGTAAGAACGAGTAGGTGGGAGTTTTTTTGGTAGTTGTTACAATTCTGACAGTTAAGCATTTCAAGTTAAAAAAAGGTAGAGGGCTTAACAAACAGAAAGACCATGAGGCAAAAGATGACAGCAAAACAAAAACAAAAGATGACAGCAAAACAAAAACAAGTAAACATGGCACCTCTGCAAAGATCGCCACGGTCAATATTTTGGTTCACTGTGTGGCCTTTTTAAGTAAAGAACATAATGTTAGTCACCAAGGAAATGCAAATGATTACTCATTGGGGGAAATGCACATTAAAACCACAGTAAGATAACACTGTACACCTACCAGAAGGACTAAAATGAAAAAGACTGACATTGCCAAGTGTGGGCAAGGATAGGGAACAACTGGAACTCTTACACCTTGCAGGCGGAAGTATAACATAGCTCACCTACTTTAGAAAACTGCTTGACAATACCTTCTAAAGATGGCTCCCCTCATGTCTACCCCATGACACAGGAATTCCATTCCTAAGTTTGTTCTCAAGAGAAATCAGTACATATTTCCATCAGAAGACATGTTCATAGCAGCATTATTCTTTTTTTTTATTCTTATGTTAATCCCCATACATTACATCATTAGTTTTAGATGAAGTGTTCCATGATTCATTGTTTGTGCATAACACCCAGTGCTCCATGCAGAATGTGCCCTCCTCAATACCCACCACCAGGCTAACCCATCCTCCCAGCCCCCTCCCCTCTAGAACCCTGTTTGTTTTTCAGAGTCCATCATCTCTCATGGTTCGTCTACCCCTCTGATGTCCCCCCCTTCATTCTTCCCCTCCCGCTACCTTCTTCTTTTTTTTTTTTCTTAACATATATTGCATTATTTGTTTCAGAGGTACAGATCTGAGATTCAACAGTCTTGCACAATTCACAGCGCTTACCAGAGCACATACCCTCCCCAGTGTCTATCACCCAGTCACCCCATCCCTCCCACCCCACTCCCCACTCCAGCAACCCTGTTTGTTCCCTGCGATTAAGAATTCCTCATATCAGTGAGATCATATGATACATGTCTTTCTCTGTTTGACTCATTTCACTCAACATAATACCCTCCAGTTCCATCCACGTCGTTGCAAATGGCAAGATCTCATTCCTTTTGATGGCTGCATAATATTCCATTGTATATATATACCACCTCTTCTTTATCCATTCATCTGTCGATGGACATCTTGGCTCTTTCCACAGTTTGGCTATTGTGGACATGATAGCAGCGTTATTCTTGACAGACCCAAACTGGAAACAACCCAAACGTCTATAACGAGAATAGATACGTAGGGACGCCTGGGTGGCTCAGTTGGTTGAGCATCTGTCTTCAGCTCAGGTCATGACCTCTGGGTCCTGGGATAGAGCCCCACATTGGGCTCTGCGCTCAGTGAGAAGCCTGCTTCTCCGTCTCCCTCTGCCTGCCGCTCCCCCGCTTGTGCTTTCTCTCCATCAAATAAATAAATAAAATCTTAAAAAAAGAACAGATACGTAAATTGTGGTGGCTCTGTAGTGGAGTACTACACAACATTAAAAAGAACAAAGTGACCCACAACTCTAATCTTTGACAAAGCAGGACAGAATATCCAATGGAAAAAACACAGTCTCTTCAACAAATGGTGTTGGGAAAACTGGACAGCCACATGCAGAAGAATGAGACTGGGCCACTTCCTCACACCATACACAAAAATAAATTCAAAATGGATGAAAGGCCAGATGTGAGATAGGAATCCATCAAAATCCTAGAGGAGAACACAGGTAGCGACCTCTGTGACTTCGGCCTTAGCAACTTCTTACTAGACATGTCTCTGGAGGCAAGGGACACAAAAGCAAAAATGAACTATCGGGACTTCATCAAGATAAAAAGCTTCTGCACAGCAAAGGAAACAATCAACAAAACTGAAAGGCAGCCTATAGAATGGAAGAAGATATTTGCAAATGACATATCTGAAAAGAGCTGGTACCCAAGATCTATAAAGAACTTGTGTGGGGCACTTGGGTGGCTCAGTCGTTAAGCGTCTGCCTTCGGCTCAGGTCATGATCCCAGGGTCCTGGGATCGAGCCCCGCATCGGGCTCCCTGCTCCGCAGGAGGCCTGCTTCTCCCTCTCCCACTCTCCCTGCTTGTGTTCCCTCTCTCACTGTGTCTCTCTCTGTCAAATAAATAAATAAAAAATCTTTAAAAAAAAAAAAAAGAACTTGTCAAACTCAACACCCAAAGAGCAAATAATCCAATCAAGAAAGGGGCAGAAGACATGAATGAACATTTTTTTCAAAGAAGACATACAGATGGCCAACAGACACATGAAAAGATGCTCAATGTCACTCATCTTCAGGGAAATATAAATCAAAACCAGGATGAGATGCCACCTCACACCCGTCAGAATGGCTAAAATTAACACAAGAAACAACAGATGTTGGCAAGGATGCGGAGATAAGGGAACCCTCCTACACTGTTGGTGGGAATGCAGCTGGTGCAGCCGCTCTGGAAAACAGTATGGAGGGTCCTCAAAAAGTTGAAAATAGAGCTACCCTATAACCAGCAATTGCATTACTAAGTATTTATCCAAAACATACAAAAATAGTGATTCAAGGGGGCACATGAATCCCAATGTTTATAGCAACATTATCAACAATAGCTAAATTATGGAAGGAGCCCAAATGTCCATCAACAGATGATTAGATAAAGAAGATGTGGTATGTATATCTATATGCAATGGAATATTACTCAGCCATCAAAAAGAATGAAATCTTGCCATTTGCAACAATGTGGATAGAACTAGAGGGTATTATGCTACATGAAATAAGTCAGAGAAAGACAAATACCATATGATTCCACTCACATGTGGAATTTAAGAAACAAAACATGATAAAATAAGATGAAAACAGAGAAGGAGGAAAACCATAAGAGACTCTAATTGAGAGAACAAACTGAGGGGTGCCTGGGTGGCTCACTCAGTTAAGCATCCCACTCTTGATGTCAGTTCAGGTCATGATCTCAGGGTTGTGAAATCGAGCCCAGCGTCAGGCTCTGTGCTCAGTAGGGAGTCTGCCGGAGAATCTCTCCCTCTCCCTCCTCTCCCTATGTCCCTCCCTCCACTCATGGGTGCTCTCTCTCTCTCTCAAATAAATAACTAAATCTAAAAAAAAAAAAAAAGAATAAACTTTGGGTTGCTGGAGGGGAGGTGGGGGGGGTGGGCTAAATGGGTGATGGGCATTAAAGAGGGCACTTGTGATGAGAACTGGGTGTTATATCTAAGTGATGAATCACTAAATTCTACTCCTGAAACCAATATCACACTATATGTTAACTAACTAGAATTTAAATAAAAATTTGAAAAAAATTAAAAAAAAAGAACAAAGTACTTTACATGCATGTTCTGATTATCTATTCATAATTAGCCACTCCAAGACTTAGTGGCTTAAAACAATAATCATTTATTTGCTTCTGATTCTGTTAATTTGGCCAAGAACTACTTTTCAAATGTTGGATAATGTTCTGCCATATGGGGCACGGCTTTGTTCCAGAACCCTAGTGGTCTGAGTTAGGGCTCTCCCACTGGGGCTTTTCAGAGACTTCCCACTGTCTACTTGTCTCCCATGGATATTTCTAGTACCAGGGGGTACACTGGTTGGTAGGTCCCGAGTGCTTGTCCCATTGCACGGACCTGTCACAGAGCCCTCTTTTGTTCTGGACTCCACTCAAACATGGCACCTCCCCATGTCATCCAGTCAATCGGCCGGAGCAGTAATATACAGCCTCCAAAGTCCAAACAGACTCATCAGTGCTATGCCTCTTTTTAGGGGGAGCATGTCCACAGTACAATGACTTGTCCTTTCCTCTAGAGGGAATGTCCCAGCATGTCCCAGTTCATTTGACCACTTAAAACATAACATGACAGGTCTCTGAATTTTTGTAGGAAATGTGAACATGACGCATTTTTTTTTTTATCCCCTTTCCTGAAATGGCTTGGAAAGAATGCATTGGCCATATTATTAGCTTCTTCCACTCAGAGGCTGCGTAGACTATTGTAGCAAAGATACCATATCTGATATAATATCTGCTACTTTATTAGGGCTACTACGTGGATAACCATCAATTGCCATGTTTCATTTGCAGTATGGGATGGACTGAATGGGGATCTGATGGGGACCACCTTGCATACTCTAGGTCTTTGAGAGTAACGCTAATCTCCGCACTTCTACCTGCTATGTGGGATTGCTTCTGATTTACCGTCTTGACTAGTAGGATAATTTTAGAGACTTCTGCTCCATCCTTCTTTCCATAATGGCTCTTATTCTGCAGATAGAAGAACCAGTCAGTGAGGGTTCTGCCAACTGCTAAATATATCCACCCCAATTTGTACTCAGGGGCTGGGAGATAACCACAGAGTCGGTCCACAGGCCCACTGGACTCTGAGATACACCTGGCTGGGACTCTGTTATCACCCAGCCTCACATGTTTCCCTCCTCTAAAAGGAGGCTATGATGGTATTTTGGGTCGCCCAGTACTGGTCTAAGCTCAGACTCTGTATCTAATAGACCTCCAAAGAGCTTTTCCACTCTGTACAGCTATTCTGGTAAATAGCCAGAGGGCACTTTGAAGGAAGAATTGAGGAAATATTTATTTAGTATATTTACAGTGACCTTATGGGTCTTTTTCTTCAGTCAGTCTGGGTCTGAGAACCAGCTCATACCTGGCAGCTGGGTGAGAGACTGTGATTTTCTATCGTGGCAACTGGTATCAGCTTCTGCTCACCCCTGCCCCATCCTGATCTGTTGTGGTTCAGTCAAGCAATGTCCCATTAAGTGCTCCTCTCTCTTACCCCTGGGAACGCCCCAGCCACAGGGCTCTGGTTACCCATCAGGCCTTGTGTCTACCTTGCCTCTGATGATGAAGTGGCTCTATGTGGCCTCTGCCCTTCCCGAATCTTACTGCGTCCGCTGAGA